GTGTACATAATAGTAATTCGGCGAATTAAAATTATGGTCATGGCATCAAACAACTGTTATTGCAAAGATTAACAATTTAACAGTTGCAAAATGAACAATAGAAATGATTCAAAGGAGCGCGCAAAGCGCGCGCTTGTGTTGTCTAGTTTTCTAAAAATTATATAAAATAAATAATTTTATTTTTTAAATAAATTATTGTATTTTTAATTAATATTTTGTATAATTTTGTTTATATTATTATTTATATTCAAATAAATTGCGAATATGCTGCGAGTGCTAATGGAACAAAAGATAAACGTCTTTGTTGTATTGTTTGAAAATGCATTCTTTGTTTTCTTCGTATAGTTTTTCCGACAACGACAGACGTCACATGGAATTACGCAGCATTAATTAGAAGATAGACGACAGGTTGCGTTTGGTGAACAGAGGCTTATGGCATGGACAATGACATAATCGGCTAATTTTGCTCGTGGCGAAAACGTTCAATTAAATGGTTCGTATATCACTATTGTCACGTAGGTACAGAGATCGACGATAAAATTTGCAATTTCTAGCGTATTACTATAGTACGAGGCGAAACTTGCGCAAGCTTATTTGGTGTGAAAGTGTGAATAAGAAAGGATTGATTGTGTTTTAGTTGTTCTCCACCTGAGATGAGCTTGTTAGAAAACGTCAAGAATAGTATCACTAAATCATTCTTTTTCTACATTGCATTAATATGTATTATTGTGATAATTTACCATATACATTATAGATTATAGAATTATTGCATAAAATCATTACATCTGCATTAATATAAATAATTAAAATTTATATAATTTGAGCTACATTGCTGACGTTACAACACATTCTAACAAATTATTTGTTAATTTTTACAAAATAGAAATATATTATTATTTAACTTATTGTATAATATTTAGAATATACAGAAAAATCATAATTTTTAAATTGATTATTTAATAAAATATATAACTTATATATTATTAGTGTAATATACACGTAAATATGTTTATTTGTAATACACATTTTTACTTGTAAATTTTTTCTTAAAAAACGACACGATGGATAAATTCTGATTGGGTAAATTAATCCTCAATAATTTATTTTGACTTTCTGTCGCCCGTGTCGGCCGCCAATTGATTGGATTCGGATGTCGATATCGTGAAACTAAATTAATTCCGGTCACAAATATCGGAATATGTTGAATCAAACAAAAACGCATCAATGTTGGTTAAACAGTAACTATAATGGTACAAGCAATTGGAACATTAATCTTTATATATTAATTTTCATATTGGTACAAACGCGCGCACCAGGAATATCGAAAATAATATATGTTGAATACATTAAAATTGTTCATTAAACATGATAATGGCAAGCAATTGGAACATTAATTTTTATATATTATTATATTAATCATATTGGTATACGCGCGCCAAATTTTTATAAAATACAAATCGTGTTGATCAATTGATGAAATTTGTAAAAATTTGATTATAAAGATAATTTCTTAATAAAAATATATATTATAATACAGTATATCAAAATCATGAACTAATTGTATTCTAAAAATATTTATACAGAAAGAGTTTCTTAAAAATAATTATATTAAAATACAGTATTTGGAATTACATAAAGTTTTGTTTTATATGAAAAGATATTGTACACTATTTAATTTTTATTACCGATTACTTTTTAATCTATAAACAGAATCAGAAATATTTAACAAATGCAATATATTATTTTGCTTAGTTAGTTATCATGTGATAATGTTAGTACATATTGCGCAAAAAGCCTTTCATGATGCTTTATGGCCGTGCGTGATAACGCTCGTGTAATACCCTTCCCAATTATTTTTCACGTTGACTTTGTCCCTTGAGAGCTACATTTACCTGTGAAAACGGACAATAAATTGCTTTAAGCATCTAAGTAAATTTTGGTTTTGAAACTAAAATCGTGTAAAGCTGAATAATACAAATCTATAATAAATTAACGCATTTCCAATGTAAAAGAAGTTTCTGCAAATTGAAGACTGGAATTGTTATTAAATCAAAATTCTATTAGAAACAAATTAAGCATAGCGACAGCGAAGAGAAAGATAAGTTTTTAATATTACAAGTTAATTCGCACAATATACAATTTAAATATAAATAAATATATACATATGTATAATAAATTAATGTATAAGTTATATAATAATACAAATAAAAGAAGGATTTAATCAAAATACTTTCAAAAATTAAAATATTATAATATAAATGCATGGTAGTTTGATTAAAAATAAAAATATCATTTGTTTAGCAGAATTATACATATGATATACATAAAATAAAAATTATTATTAAATATATAAAGTTACATATAATATATCTTTTATATATTTTTATTTAAAATAAAAATTTTATTATTGTTTAGAGCAGTTTTTATTATTTTTCCTGTTAATTCAGCTTTTTAAGGTAACGTACATAAATCATTAATATTGATGCTTTTGTACTATATATATGTGAAAGCAATAATGCTAAAAACCTACGACTTTATTTCGTCTCGCAGCCATATATTCTGTAACAATTCTGTTTCTAAACGAACAGTGCGTAATCTAAAATTTCAATTCACTTGAAAGCTTTCATAGTAAACTATCGTGTTGATTGCCAGTTCGACTGTGCACAAAATCAACAAAAATATCCGCCTACAGAAGATTATAAAATATATTTTTATATAATTAATAACTATTTATATTTATCTATAAGCAATTATAATCCTCATTATATAGTAATTATAGTATATTTTCCATGTGTTTTATATTCTATAAATTTATGTAAATAGAAAAAAAATTGAAGCAGTAAACAAGTTCATCTATCTACGCGATTGATCACTCTCGAAGAACATAAATCATTTGATATTTAAAACTGTCGATCCGTTTACTATATTTAAATTCTACTACTTACTACTTCTTTTATGTATCGTAGCTTTTAATGCGAATCTTTCAGGTTTCTTTGAAGTGCGCGAGTGAAAACATGAAAAAAACTTGCGACAACTCCGTATGGCTATATCAAGAGTGCTGCTTCTCACTTTTACGATTTAAAGAGAACATTTCGAGAGACGGTCGTAATATTTTCCATAGCGCGCTTTTAACTCAGTCGACCTTCGATAAACGGTAATGTTTTAGTATCCCTGAGCAGCAGCCCTCATGAACGCGTGAAATACGATCGTCTTAAAGTTTCCACTTGACGGAGGGATGGCTACGAGGTTTTACACATCCGCATTTCACAGAGGCAACACAGTACGAGAGCAATAAAAATTATACCAATGTAGTTCCCGAGTTTGTATGTAAAATGGAACAATTATAAAATGGAACATTTTAAATAAAATAAATGAGACTTATTAAAAAAGTTTAATAATACCTTTCATGCTTGTAAATTTTTTAATACAATGTTTTAAAAAAGACATCAAGAAGAAGCTTCTTCTTGATCCTTTTTTAATTGAAAAACTTTATTATATTTATTACCATCACTTTTTGTTTTTATTTTACAATTTATTTTAGATTATTTTCTAGCACAATAAAGAATTAATTTTTTTCTTTACTTTTCCAAATATGTATTTGAACAAGATATGTGACATTTTTTATATATGTGCATATTATTATTATTCTTATATTGAACATAATAAACAGCCGATAATTTATATATTATAAATATATATCTACATTTATGTGCATACAATACAGATATATAATAATTTTCTTAACTAACAATATGAGTCTTAAAAAAAAGAAGAAAATAATCAAGCGTAAGTATGCCCTTCATTTTATTCAGTGTAAAAAATGTATCTACATTTCAACATTCACAGTTTACTTCCATCTTTATAGATGTGGATTACTACTTTCTTCGGTGAACCGACAAGGCAATAACTTTACATATACATATGCACACTCATACTCACTTACACATCACTCTTTACCAAGTTAGGAAAACAAGATTAATTTCTGCTTTCTCTATCGCTATCACTACATGAAAAATGTTCGCTTTTATCACGTATTACGCTTTTATCATATTACATAAAATATATTATTTAAAATACTAAATTATTTCTTAGTTCTTTTGTCTATCTTTAAGTAATGAATTTTTGTTAATATATAATATAATATTTGAATTTGATTAGTCTTAATTATAATTACAATAGCTTATACTTACTTGATCTATTTCTTTTGTCTTTTTTTCATTTTCCAATTCTGGAATCTCGCAAAATTCCGTACATCTCATTTCTCTCATTTTTGCCGATTTGTCTTTATGTAAAAGCCTATGAAAGAAGCTAGCGTGAAACGAGTTTCTTTGAAATTACATTCTTCGTACTGTAATTCATTCATCTACGCGTAAAGAGCAAGCTCTTCAATTGGCCACCTCAATTGTAAGTAATTTTTTTAGAAGGGGATGGATTCTTTTACAAGCGCACAATATAACGAATAGTTAACTTTTCAATGTACTTTTGTTTTTTTCTAACGCATTCGTATTGGGAACAGATTCTTTTAATTATTAGATAACTATTTTATATTCTTATATTATTGAAATAGTGCAAAACTATTTTAATAAGAAATACAAAAGATATATACAATAAAGAAAAAATTTAGTATATTTTTGCTAACTATAATAAATATATAATTAGAAAATTATTTAATACGTTAAAACAATTTTTGTAGAAAAATTATAATAATTTTAAATTCAGTGTCATACTGAAAGAGAAAGATATTGAGTACGTTTTTACCAGACTAGTCTCATGCTAGCAATGGAAGGGTGAAGAACTGGAAGAAAGATCTCATCACTATATAAGACTGTCGATCTCAATCACTTACACTTACTACAGTTACTGCGATCGATCCTTACTCATTAAAATTTGTGAAATTTATAATTAATATATCAAATCCTTAATGCATTTCTAAAAATATAATAAATTATAAAGAAAAAAAGAAGTTTAATTAAATAGAGTTTATATAAACGATTGTTATAATGTGCCATACGCGATTCCTGGTGAGTCTGTTATAAATATCGCCAACGTGATCGTGATACTTCTAAACATAAGTGTGTTCTTCCTTCAGATTATCTTCGTCGTGGTGGTAGTTATTGAAGCATACAAAAGCAAGAGAGATATTTCCTTTTTCAACGGAGACATCACGTCTTATCGCAAACCTCATTCACAAAATTTCTTCTTCGATCAATTATTTATCGAGCAGCAAAATTCGCCTACTATAGCAGTGAGAGATCAAATTACCAATCAGCAAACTCTTCACAATCTGCCCTTGAAAGGTCATATTACTTATCCACCTGCCGAATTGCCAATTCATCGTCACAAACCGTTTGAACAGAATTCCTTTAGGGTAACGTCATTTAAGGATAAACCATTGTTCAGAGAAGCAATATTAGGAAATCAAAAATTACGAGGAGAACGAGAGATTCTCAGAGACAATCCTTTTATCGAGCAATCGTTTACATCAGATGAAATCTTTGACAGACAAGCGTCAACATATAAAAGCCAAACGCCGTTTAAAGAACAATTGTTTATTGAAAACCCATTAAATTTACATTACGAACAATTGCCTTCAAGTGAACAAACATCGTTTCAGAAGCAAACGGCTTTCGCCGAATATCCTTCCATTTCCAATTCGATCAAATTGGATCAAGATGAGTCTTACAATAAATTGATCGATTTGTATGGCCGACATAAGAATATACAAACTTTGTCCAATAAAGGGGGATTTTCGATGTACACTAAACATGGTAAATTTATGTATATCACATACATGTACATACATACATATATACATACACAATTTTGATATTAGAATTTTTTAAATAACATTACGTCAGCAATTTTAATAACGGACATGCAATTTAATTTCTCTTTTTAAAAAAATTGTATAAATTGTTTCGTGAGAAATTCAATATTGAAATTATTTTACTAAAACAGGAAACAGTTTGTTAATATAATGGTTGTTAATTGGAGCGTTAAACAAGCTTGTTCTCTCGGTCTTTTTAATTTAATCATATTATATAAATTATTTTTTACAATAAATTTTAGTTTTTAAATTATTTATATTAAATCGCCTATTGATATAATATCTACTTAATATGTATATATGTATAATATACATATATGTTCGCGCAAATTTAAAAATATTAAAGTAACTCTAGAGTAAGTTTCTCTAGAGATTAAATGTGTTTCTTCCAGTACAAATATTCATTTTACCAATATATTAAAGAACTCATTTACAATATATTATTTATTCAAAGAATACTCATTATAATATATTGGTTACAGATAATCACGCATTTGAATTGTCTTCAATGCCGACGGTTTCGCCTTTCAAACATTTTTCTCCATCGAACATCGAAATGCCCCGGACGTTGCCATCAGCGTCTATTCATGGACCTGACTTTTCTATGTCTCCTATTCCTTCAAGTGTTGACGAAATTTATTCATCAGAAGCTATCAAGATGAAGTTTCGTCCAATGCCGATAACGGAGTCGACTATGTCATTATCGGGCAGTAACTGTAATGCGGTAAGCAAAACTTACTATGACAGCTGATATTTTGATTCTACACAAAGTAAAATATTATATAATTAAAATTTAATTTATTGAATTTAATTCCGGACAGACAATGATACGTATTTTGTGGCAATTTTAACATATGCAATTTTACGAATAATTACTGTTCGTAAAATGAAAGCCGTCACAAACTTGTCAGCTCTTTATCAAGTTTTCATTATATATATGTATTTATTTATATTAATGTACAACAAAATTTTAGATAAAATTTTATATTACATTATAATATTTGTAATTTACGTTAATTATTCATTAATTTACACTTGGCCTATTATTCTAATGTTAATACACGTTACAATAAAGTTTTATTATAATAATAATAACTACTTGTTAATTAACATTAGATTATTGTTTGTTAGTGCAATTTTATTTTTAATTTTTTTCTTATTTTAAATTTGCTAAAAATGGATAATATTCTTATTTATTATTTATTAACTAAAACTTTTAAAGTTTATTAACTTTTATATCTATAATTTAATATTAATAATTGTAATGTATGTAATACACAATTGAATAAGGAACACATAGAATGCACTAGATAGAGAGAGGTGAATACCTGTATAAAAAAAATATATTTGATGTCAATTAACAACGGGCTAAAAGTTTATTATTGCTTTTAGCCAATCGACAGCTCGCCAACAACCGTACCATCAATCTCAGTTAGCACAAACCAATCCTCGATTGTAGGTCATATCTTAACGAGTTTAACAACCAAGCCCAGTTCACCTGTCATGGATACAACATCAATAGCGCCGTTCGTTGAAAAGTACGTAATGGTTGCCCCAGAGCTTTATTACTTGTTCGATTGATACAACATTGTAACTATACAGTGTAAACTCGTAAAGTTACTCAATTTCATGACGAGAATTTCACTCGAATACTATTAAAGTTTTATTCGATTTATTTATTAGAGTGTGTCGTCGTATTACTGCAAATTGCACATAATAATGATATAATTAATATTATCTTAATTGAAATATTTTATTATTATGAACAAATTAAACAAAAGCTGTTTTACGAACTAAGTATTAGATGGAAATTATTTTAAATTATACATCTATAATCCTGAGATGTGGGACGTTTCGACACTAACTTGCGTCTCTTCAGCTACAATATATTAAATTTACAAAAAGTTGTTACAACATCACTTCTTCTTTACAGTGTCAAACTGTAAGTGTTGACACTGTAAAGAAGAAGTGATGTCAACACTTACAGTTTGACACTGTAAAGAAGAAGTGATGTTGTAACAACTTTTTGTAAATTTAATATATTGTGGCTGAAGAGACGCAAGTTAGCGCCGAAACGTCTCACATCTCAGGATTATAGATGTATAATTTAAAATAAATCTCATCCAATACTTAGCTCGTAAAACAGCTTTTGTTTAATTTGTTCATTATTAATTTATTAAAACGAGCTTTCAATATTATATTTATTTCATTATTATGTTTTGCGTATTGATTTTTGGTGTAATTATAATTTCACTATGGTTATGGTTTCTAACTCTTTTTTGTATACATAAATATTTATAAATTTTAAATAGTAATAGAAAAATTCTTAAATTTTCAATCATGGGATAATATATTTTTTTTATTAGCTATTACTTTTTATTATTTCTATCTTTATAGAATTTATATAATTGTAAAAAAAAGATATATTAGTATACATATATTAGCACGTAATATTTTGAATAATTTATGAAATATTCTAATTACTTTGTACATCTAAATCTGATTTGTTTGATTTAGCACTGTTGAACCAATTCATTTTTACGCTACTAAACATGGAGCTGTCTTAGCATCTTCTCTTCCCACCCAGAATGAGTTAAAAAGCAACATACATGCCTTCCTGAACATGCCGAAGAACAGTTTCAAGATCAATGAGAACAAATTTAAATTCCCAATTCCAGATGCGTCGAAAAACAACATTAAAACTAATACTCAAAGTCCTACATTGGGCTATTTCTCTGAAGAGTACAAGACCGGGTTGAAGAGTATTCAGAACTCCTTCGTAAACTACGCGTTGCCCGAGGGATTTAAATACGGCTGGCCTTTGCAACAATTCTCACAACCAGAAATGTCAATAGTTCCATTATCTCTGAACGGAAACACAAAGTTTGTTCTATCGAACATGTCTACCACACCTATTCCAATTATTTCTTGGCCAATGGAGACTAGCAGCGACTTTGCCCCAATGATGCCATTGAAGCTCACAGTATCTCACACGGCGATAAATAACAATATACCGCAATTACCAAGTATGATCGTAGCTCATTATCGTATCTCATTTTAGATGACAAAGATTTATTGTGCAAGTAAATTTAATTATATTTATAAATTTTTTTCACTTTTTGTTTTGTGTGTTAATTATTTTAAATATTTTTTTAATTTGTTATGTGTGTAATAGAAAAAGAGATGATTTCTTTTCAAATCCTAATTTTATGCTTCAGATTTTGTTTGTAACGTCAATAATTACAATTTTATATATTTTGTCGCAGGCGTAAACCTACCTTTGGACTCTATGACAAGCATACCAAATAGTCTGACTCCAAGTATATCTAATACTATATCTGGAAGCATAACTGGTGGCATATCAACAGGCATACCTAGTGGAATGATGGCAGACATGCCTGCGAGCATACCAACTTTGAACCTCGAACAAAGTTTACATCGTATAGAACAATTACAACAAACTCAAGAGGCAAGAAATCCCTGGTATCCCACAGGTATCTTAGCTATACGCTAAGTGAGTCTTACATCTCTCTTTGATTTTGGACATGATATTGTACTATAATATTTCACGCAGTACGAATTTCTTTGAAAGTTCATATATTCATTATTTGTGTTAGAATTTAATAATTAACGGAATATATAATTTAGTGTATATTCAAATTTTGAGAAGAGTTTTTCTGTAAAATTTTTTCAAAATTTTTAATAATAAAATAAAAATTATTACATTTGAAAAATTAAGAATTTTGTATATAATGTCAGCTTAGATTAAAAATACTTTATGCAATATTTACAAAATTCTACAAGACTTATTATAGCGAAATCTTAAATCTTAATGCAAAAATATATATTATTAGATTATCAAATTTAAAAATGTTAAATTGTTTTAAAATTAAATATATTAGATGTACATATATATAAATTTCAGCAATAATTTGTTTTTGTCTACAGTTTATAGAAGAACTCTACAGTCACATATATACTATAAATAATAAAAGTAATGAAAAAAATTAGAATCTGAACTTTTAGAATTACATTAAACAACATTATGACTATATGCATTTCTAGTTTCTCTTCCCGTGCAAGCTTCAAAATGTAAATTTAAATCCTTTTATAATAATTGATCTGCTGATTACGCTTAAGAATCCGTTTGTTCAACAACTCTTTTGCGCAGTCGGCAAACGTAACGCAATTAACGTACTTTGCAGGTTTGCAACTCCAACTAGGCGGCTTTGGCGGGATAAATTACACGTTACATACGGGTAATCCGGCCACGAGGCCGATGGAGCTTGGGATCACGAAAGCAGGCTTAACTTCACCGAAATTACCACAACCACACACTCTCGCATTTGCAAAAGTGAGTCTTCTCAATATCTGATTGGGAGTTTCAAGATACGATATTTCTATCGCTCGAGAATTTTATATCCTTCTAATTTAACAATATGTAATATTATTTTAAAATTTTTTCGTGTCTGTTAATTACGAGCATTAATTTTTTATTTCTTCTCATCTTTCCTATACCTTAATTTATACATTTTTAAAATATCTCTGCATATACTATTTTCTTTACTATTTTTTACTATCTTATTTTGCCTTATTACATATTTTCTTTCGCATCTATGACGCGATATCGGACTACCTTATATTTCCATAAGCAAATATATTAAGCAAACTGTAGTTTGCTGAATAAACATAAATTTTGATGTTATTTGAGGTGAAGTAGCTGCACCTTTTGAAATACGAACGAAAGGCGAGTATTAAAAGAACGAAATTATCATATATCACTTTGGAGTTCGTCATTAACTTTAGTGTATTCATATTTCTGCAGCTTTGCTATCCAGGCAATAATTCGCTAAATTTATTTTAACAGACTGAATTAATTCAATTATATAAAACATAAATGTCATTAAAAACAAAAAAAATATACATAGAATTGAATAAATATAAAATTATATAAAATTAAAAGATACTCTATAATATATATATAATACATAATTGTCAAATTAATAAGTTGCGAAAAATAAATTTAACATTTTTTAACATTTATTATATACTACATTAATAATTAAATTAATTTGTGATTTATCAATTTAAATATTTAATTTGCACTAGAAAAAAAGTTTAATATTAAAATATTTTTGAAAATTATTCATAATATTTTTATACAATATTTGCCTTTGCAATTATATTAGATTTATTTCGCAAAAATATTTATATTAACTTCTATTTATGTCTAGAATATTATATATATACTATTACATATTGAATAAATAAAAATAAAACAATAAGTAAAGAATTCTGTATTTTATAAATAAAGTTTGATAAAAGTTATACATTATATAATTTAATAACAGAACAAAATAAATATTACAAGAAGATATTAAAGAGAAAGATATTTTTTTAAATTAATTTTATTTAAGATATTTTTAGTTTTTCTAATTATTAAAATAAAAAAAAACACATTACGCATATAAACAAGTAATTAAAAAATTGATTAATAATAAATATTTATTTTATGCATATCTTAAAGTGAGCATATTTTCAATATTTTACTCTATATAATATATTCCTAATTACCATTTGGAAGTACGTCTATTCATTTCAGCAAAAGCCATCGAATGTTGGAAGTTCGTTGGCAGAAGCTTATGAATATGGAAAACGTATTCACGAGATATTAATTAGTAAACCAATTTTGTTAATCATACACGTGCCTGACAATTCTGTTAGTTCATCCGCATACGTAAACTCTGGCTGTTTGGTCGAAAGGCAAAACCAATTTATTGCAGTGCTACATTAGAATGGGCCATATCTCGCATCAATTCTCTGTTGAATATTGAATTAATATAGAAATAAATGATTCAATATAAAAAAATTTTACATATTTTTTTTTATTTTTAAATATCCGATTAAAGTTGTAATAAAAATATTTTATCATATAAAAAATTTATTGTCAATTCTTTTAATTGTTTACAAAATTACCATAAAATTGAAAAATATTTCGCAATATATAATACAAAATAGTTACAAAAAATTATAACATATTACAAAACAAAGATTTCAAATTTTATGTGTATACACATATAACTGCAGCGTCAAAAAATTACATATCAAAGAATGGATATTTAATATTGCACTCTTATCGATTGTTATTTTTGCAAAATATAAACCAAAGAAAAGAAAGATTATATTTTTTGTGGCAAACATTGAAATGTAAGCTTTTTGAGAATGAAAATTCTCCATTTGCGCAAAAGCACAAATAAAATGTTTCGCGTACTTTTCATTCACGTACAATGTCGCTCGTAAATCTTTCAAAAATTTATCGTATAATACGACTGTTGCCATTTCGCATGCCGAGTACCAGGTGCTGTTTCCCTTTTCGCAAAGCTGCAAGATAGAAAAGACGAAGAAAGTAGGCAAAGAGAAATAAGACGTCTCGTCTGTAGTCGCCTCGGTTTTTTTATTTTACATTAATTACAATACTGAAGAAGTTTCTCTCTCGACTGGAACGAGAGAACGAGGCATGTAGTACCAACCGTTGTTATGCAACGGTAGTAATTATTTTTGCATTCTGTAAATATGATTAAGTGTGACAGAATTTACTAAATGTAAAAATAATTACCACTTCATAACAAACACCAATTCATGCACCACGCATGTATGTATACATATACATTGTATACATAAAGATAAAACAAGATTCGACATCAGAGAAAGCAGATTATAGTTGTTGAACTATCGAACGTATATAATTATGTTATGCGCCATGTTGTAATATATCTTCATTACTTTAAGAAAATATTTACTTAAAGACCAAATTAAAATTAATAAATTAATTAAAATTGCGTAAAACAAATTTGAAGGAGAAATTGAGCACTATATTTTTATAAAATTTAATTAATTTTAATTTAAAAAATTAATTTATATATCTATATATACACATTGGATTATTTAAATAAAATTCTAAATAGAAGTCTAACTAAAACATAAAATTTAGAATAATATAAAAATTATATTAACGAGCATAAATAACGATAAAATTATAAAATTTATGCAGAAAGAATATTTTTATAGTATAGTTTTGTGCAATTTTTTTAATTACACAAAAATTACAATTAATCATTTTCAATATATCTATTATATCATTCTTATAATTCATTTGTTATATTTTATAAAAATTGTTATAAAGCTACCTACTTATTATTTTTATTATTTAGAGCGACAATAATTATTAAATATCGTATCATGAAATAATTTTCTACATATATGTAACATATTATTTTTAAGTTTTTCTATTATTATCTATTAAAATTCAAACGTGTAAAATATTATTTCAGACTGAAGTTAGATATCAGAATAACTATTATTAAATATAATTGTATGTAACATTCAAACTTTTATTGAAATATATATGAATAAATGTTTAAAAATTTACGTACGTAATACAAATAATTGCTATAGTCGTAGAAAAAAATTACCAAAGAAAGCATTATTACTATACGAAGGATTATATCTTTTAAAAATATTATGTGAATAAGAATTAATTCTTTTTAAATGCCAAGCAGATCAACTTTGCTATGGAAACTTATTTTAAATTTATTTTCTCGTTACTCTTTTTTACTTCTTGCTATATTTTTGTATTCGCTTTTTATTTATTACCGTTTATTTCTCTTTCTCTTTTGTTCATCACATGACCAAGCATCTCGATGCTCAAAGAGGTATAAATGGTTGAAGTCCCAGGATACCCTTTATTCCTCAAACGTCCGTAAAAGTTGGCACCAAACGATTTTGCTGCAGATTGAATTTTGCTGGCGGCCGTAGTAGTTGGCCAGGACCATTGTCACTGCAGATTGCATTGAACCGAATCAATGTAGTCACAGGTGTGTAGTGGACTTGAGCTATCTTGGAAAAAGTTGTCGCACATTTGGTTGTCAAAAATTATTCAGATTGAAATGAAGGACTAAACATATTAAATATGAAAAATAAGTTGTAACACAGTAATATATTTTTAATGCATATTTATGTTAAATTTATGTAAGTATATTTGTCATTAAATTTTTCGCTGTTTTCTTGTTTTGTTGATAAATGAACAGTATCATATATTTATTTTATGATTTACGAGTTAGATTGGTAGATTATATTTATCCGTTTTATTAGTTTTTTGTAGCAGGTTTTGCCTTAAAATCGTCGTAAGCTTCACGCTTAATTACAATCTGGCGAGAATAATACAAGTTTATCTTATTTTCCTTTCTACTGAAATTTCTTCGCGCGAGAAAGAGTGAATAATCTACTGTCAGATTACGTTAAATTACTTCGTTCATGCATTTTATGAAGATAGCATGAACGATTTAATTGCGAATTGAATTCGCCTCGTGGTTTCATTATATTTTTCATTATTTTAACCGTAATTGAAACTCTTGCGATTACAAAGTCCTTTTATCGTGCATTTTCAGCGTAGAATCGGAAACTCATTTTAATACGTGCCTTGCTAAAACTCATTAGCAATGTTATTTTACGCAA